TGAATATGAATCACAATTTGGTGAATTTTGTGCTAAACATAGAATAATTCACCAAACTACTGCACCTTATTTAGAGGTGTCCAGACGGACGGGCCGGCTAAAGCCGTGAAAATCGGCCCGGATTGACCCGGGACCGCACACCGACCCGTGACCCGAATGGGCGGTTCACGGGTCTAGGAGGTGTGACCCGTGGGTTTCGCTAGGTGCACCTTCACGGGCCGCGGTTAATCAGCTTGCCCGTGAAAAAAATTTAATTTTAAAAAAAAGGGGGGAGGGGGAGGGGGAGGGGGAGCCGTTGGGATGTACTTAAACTATAAATTATAATAAAAGTAGGTGACAACCTAATTGGGATGTACTTATACTATAAATATTTGAAAATAGTAATTAGATATGCATTTAATTGTTATTTGTTTAAATTAAATTTAAATTTGAAAAGTTATAAATAATTCATGTAACAGTAAATTTGAATTCTATGTAAACATTTCTTGGTATAAATATGAATTTACCATTTTGTTCAATTCTTAGTTTACATTTAACAAAAAAATAATTTTTGCTATAAATATGAAAAATTCTATATTTTTATAATTTTATTTATACAATAATACAGGTCAAATCAGAACAAACCACAACCCGAATAGGCTCGATCCGGATGGGTCAACGGGCGGGTCTATGTTGTAATCCAAAATTTGTGGACCGACCCGGAACCGGCCCGAAACCCGTAGCGGACGGGCTTTTTTTCACGCGAGCCGTTACCAGGCTCATATGTTGACGGGCCTACCCAGCCCGTACCATTCGAATTGATACCTCTATTGACACGCATAAACTTGTAATTCTTGATTTTTGATCTCGACGCATCACAATGCATTACGCATTTTAGAACATTAGATTTAACTATAAAGTAAACAATAGTCCAAAATTACGCCTTCAAGCTAAAATCTGCTCAGAATGTGTGAACCTTATTGAGGGTTTGAAAGATGAGCTAGGCTCAACTTCTTAAACTGTCAGGATACTTCTACACGACTTCGCCATGTGATAATCAAAACCTCCATAGTTTGGTATTTTTCATGTCTAGCTACTACATGTCGATTATATCTTCACTCTTGAGGCCTGGATATTTACTTTTTATTGTCCTTTCTTCTTTTGTACTTGGTTATCAATTCCGGAACAATTAGTGATCATTAAATACTTTTTAACGTTCACATAGACCTTACTTAGTTTATTGTTTAGGTAAACATTTAGTACAAATAAACCATGAACTTTGATGATGAAAAATTGGGTGTCGCATTAGATACCACTTAACAGTTCATTGATTACCAATTTAATGATTTTTAAGTTGGTTGTTACTTATCCGTTTTTAGTTTTGAACCTACGTGCGGAATTAATCAATCAAAAGTAACAAATAATTTTTAATTATTTCTAGATGATTAAGTAAACAAGTCCAATTCTCGTATGTTTGAATGCCACAATAATAAGGAAAATAATAATTAACACCGATACAATGATGGAGAAACCTCAACTGAGTAAAAACTCTGGGACTAAGCCAATTGGTTCCACTATGGACAATACGGAGTGAGTTACAATCAGATGCTATCTAACCAACTCCACTAAACTACCCGATCTATTTCCTGCTAACTCCAAGACCTGCTCCAAGATCTTCAGCAATTGCCTCTTTCAAATTGTGTGACTAGCCCAACTGGAATATTCATTTAAATAAGCCTAAGGCCTAGCTAATTGCACCACTAGCTTTCTTGTAGATCATCATCATGATAGGTAAATGAGATTTCTCGCTATAGCTTATCTATTAATTCATAGTTTTCGATTGTAATAATGAGTAACCTTTTTGATAAATTATTGCACTAGAAACGAGTAAAAATCTATATTCAATGCTCAACTCAAATGGAACTCCAATCACCTAAAATGAAGAACAAACAGCAGCTTGCAATTTTCTAAGACGTTCTTTCTTCTCTAACATTTCCACATCGTAAACTTAACAATATATCACTTTTGGGGATCCTTAAGTGGGTCGAGAGGTTAGCTGTTAGAAATTTTTGAGTTGACATTTTACATTTAGACTATAAATTCCAGGATATTAGTAGTGGATTGGTTGAATCCAGCTTTAGCAAGAATCAAATCGAATGGGTCAAAACTTGGTTTTTATAATTGAACAGGTTGGTTCTTGGTTCATCTGGTACGATCTTTTTTAAATTTGAGATTAGAAAAAATGGACCAAAATAAAGCAAGCATGAGTAGTTTAAATTGGACTAAACTTAAATAGGATATGTTCTAGTTACCCCATGGATTGACATCCCATTTGATCAGTTTAGTTGGAAAGAAGGTGGAAGGGGAAGGTAAGGGCGACTAAAACATGAAAGCATGTTTGCTAAGTTGGATCGGGAAATTTCAAAGAAAAAAACTTACATTCTTTTTTTTTATTATCGGCTGGTCCTATCTAATGCCGCATGTTAAAATGCCATGAGAGCATAGTTTATGTTCTTTTCAATTTTCATTCGGTCCGTTCCCTGATAAATTCTTCTGTTTTTTGAAATCCCTCTTTAATCCTTATATATTCAAATGAAGAAAATTGCATTAATTTCTCAATGAAGAAGTATACTGTTTGCATATGAATTGATATAAAAATGGAATCAAAGGATCTCTAGAGATCTTTTTCTTTGCAAATTATCCATTAGTACCAGAAGAAAAAAACTATAATTAATATGGTAGTCTAATAAATGAGTAATATATCTAGTGAGATTGCATTGTTGTAATCTAATTCAATCAAAATTGATATAAAATGTTTGCTGAATTCAGAACAATGGTGATTCAGAGCAGACATCAACGACGTACCAAGTGGATCCTATAGAGTACACTGGTTAAGGAATGGTAGCTCTTGATTTGTCATCTCCTTTGAATGCTTGAAAAAAGGGGAAAATGAGTCAAATTATTCTTTGTAATATAACATTGTTCTGTGTTTATCTTGAATATGGGGAATCGAGGTTTTGAACATATAGCTATATGTTGAGTAAGAAGAAGCATTTCATAACCCATTCTTTTCTTATTATAGTATGAAATTACAGTGAAATAAGTAAGTCTTCTCTGTCTCATAGGACTATCGGCGTGTCTTCAGTTTTGTTGAGTTTCTCAAGTTTGAACTTTGAACTCATCAAATTTATATGGGTACTTCACCCCACCTTTCCCTTGCACTCATGTTTGTCTTCATTCTAGTCCTTGGTAGTTCTATTGGCTGCTCACTTTCTGGACTTGTGTGCTGTTTTGTGTTTTTCTGACTTTTGTGAATGAACAGCTCTTGAGTGTATAAATTATGTTCCGTTTCTTACTATGACAGTGAGAGAACGTAACAACTTCTGCTTGCTTCTTGATTCTTGGACGCTACACGATCTTGCATCAGGTTGGAGGATTTGAAGATATTTCATGAAAAAATGACAGGAATTTACTCTATTCTTGTAAGTAATTTTTGGCGCAGCCTGTTTGGATGCCTGCAGATATGAGCTTACGGCTTTGGTTAGAACGTGTGGGCTTGAAATGCTGGATGACATATATGATTTGCACACATGGCTTTCTAGGGAAAATGGACAAGATGAGCAGCGGATGGAGAAATTTTCTTTGAGGAAGCAGCTAAATTTGAAATGCCAAGTACGGAATGTTGGTGCTCGTGCATTGAGCCGACTTACGTGGGAATTGAACATGATGCCACCGTTTACCATTCAATGCCAATTTCAAGTTATATGCCATCAGGCAGACAGAATTTCTTTTTAAATGAACAAATCATTAATCGCCAAGAATACCGTTGACAATAATTTCAATATGAAAATGTAAGTGACAGAGTGACAGAAATAAGCAGAATGACAATCACAGCACAGCAAAAGACATGAAGAGCATCACATGAACGATGTCAGGCAAACAGATCAGATGTGGTATTCACGACGAGAAGAGGGTACCTGAAGTCCAGATGGAAGCTGCTACTACTACAGAAATGAAGAATCCACCACCTGAAGCACGAATGGAAGCTGCTGCTATAGAAATAAAGAATCGAGCACCTGTTGAATCTTCACTGTCCGAAGAGGTTGTAGGAGTCTCAGATCCCTCCATGGTCCCTGATGTTAATGCTGGAAGTCATGACAAACGGTATGAAAACTAATCTCCAGATTAAAATTCTTCCGGCAGCAGCAAGCAACATCTTTGCTCGAATGCCAATTTAGGACTTCTCAAAGTAGAATGCCAGCTAAATGTATACAGGTGAATCAAGAACATTACGAGACTCTTTTCAAAATAATTTGTCGATGTTCTTCCGCTCATATGCCTTTTATGTAGACTCTTGGTAGATTGTATTCCACATGCAATGAATTTCGGTACAGTTGTTGCCTCGGATGAAATCACATCTCATTCTGTAATCACAGTCCGGAAAAGTTGCATTCTCTTAGTGACGTGTTTTTTGTACTCTCTGCATTCAATTATGCACATTTTGGTCGGCATCAAATTTCTATATCTCATGAAGAATTAATTGTTTTTATTCTTAATATTTTTTCAACTAAAGGAAGAGAAAATTACTTTGTGACTACCAAATATTGTACTCTTACAATAATATTGCATAATTATTATAAAGTATATAGCTTTTAAGGGCTTGTTTGAGCCCATTTTTTGTATAAAATATATTTTGGAATATTAGATTGATAGAGAAAGTGTGGTTAAAAAAAAGTCTTGAATTTATATGTAATATTATTTTATTGAAGAATGTGTGGACAAAAATAAAAAAAAAGAAAAATGTATTTCCAAATAAATGAAGATACTGAATCAAATCATAAAATCATAGTTCAAGGTTGATAAATGCTAGAGAAACATAAGGGTTGACATAGCATTTGACACAATTGCCAAATGGCGGCCCCCTATTGGGGGGCTAATAGGGGGCCGCCATTTGGCAATAGTGTCAACCCTTATGTCGATCCTTATGTTCTTTTAGAATTTCTCGTTCAAGGTTAGATTAATTTTTGCCTATTGTAGAGTACTGCTACGGCCAATGACAAACCACATGGTGTCATGGTGGCCATTGTCCCCACAATTTTTAATTTTTTAAACTTTTCTTCAAAATTTAAATTTTTATAATTTTTCTCTTTGAGCAAATCTAACAACTCATCTTATCATCTCTCAACGAGAAAAAGAAAAAGATGTTTCAAGTTACCACGGATTGCTTACCGCATTTTTTTTTTTTTTAGCTTGTGAACTCATACTTATGACAGATATTTTCATTATGTTATTTTAGATGGTAAAAGTTCTTTTGTGATAATTAATCATCTTGATTTTAGTTAGGAGTGATAATATATAGAACAAAAGTGAGCTCAATCGATTCATGATTCATTTCAAAGTAAATACGAGTCATCCATTAACTGCATCGATTTGAGCTAAGCCCACAAACGGCACGGTTCCTTTGCCACCCCAATGGATGGGGTGAACATGCAGAGCGCAACAATTAAACAATTGCACGGTTGTACCATGTGCAGCCCACTGGAAGAAAGTAAACGAGGGGACACATGTCGAAAAGCTAGGGGTCAAGGTTTGGTCTTTTGTCAATGCCGACTAGGATTATGTGACGTGTACGAAGAACCATCCTTCATTTTACATTATTTTTTGTCACCTTTGATTAGGGTTAGATGTGGTCCGATTCGATTCTGAAGAGAATCAAAATTTTCGGGTATTTAGTAAGTGGAATTGTTGGGTCCAAATTTAATTATGAAAGCGTTCGGGTTAGATTCCATTCGATTCAATTCTGTTTGGTTCTATTCCCGAGTTCCGTACAATAATTAATTTGTTATGATAGAGAGTCCGACCCGTGGCCCGGACGAGCCTTCTATTAAAAAAAAATAAAAATTTGAAGGCAAGTTGCTGCCTGCCTTTGCAGGAAGCTAGCTAGCAAGCTGCCTGCAAAGGCAGCTAAGAAAGGAAAAAAAAAACACCAAAAAATCCAAGCCGGCACAGCCCGCTAAAGCTCGGGCCAAAAGCTCGGACCGATCCTCATTTTTTTTTTGTCGGGCTCGGCTTGGACCAAAAAAAGCTCGGTCCAAAAAAGCTCGAGCTTTTTTTTTTTCGGCTCGACTCGTTGATATCGCCAGGTTAATCTCATATAATTATCTTCTTTAGCCTTTTTTTGGTGGCCATTTTTTACGGAAAAAAAATGTTTCGAAAGGTGAAATTTTGAAGAATATAGGGTTAAAAATTAGAAAAATTCTTTGAATTTATGTATTAAATATTTTATAGTGTGAATGTTTAATTGAGAATGAATATATAAATAGTTTTAATTTAAAGGACATCTATGATCTGACATGGGCTTAATTTTCAGTATCACCTAAATACAAATAA